CAAACAACAACTCAACAATTCCAATTCAATATCCCTTTTTCAGCAGTCCACCAAATAACCTGCGCCAAGCCCAATTTTCAACACCAAAACCGACCCCATCCCCCTTTCCCTTCCAAGTTCCAAAGCGTACAGTAGTACACATACGATTCCAGACGACCCCTACGTCCATTTTCTTCTTCTTCACGTGAAAATCCCGGCAGATCCGGCGAGAAATTCGCGAAATCGCCCATACCTTGCAGCAGTCGTCCCATCCCCTTTTTCCCGTTTCAAAAATTTCCCATCATCTTTACTGTGGTTTCGAAAATAGCAGAAGGGATTGAAAACTTTGTTTGAATTCTCAATGGTTTTTCCCCCCAAAAACGACTTTTTCTCCTTCTATATATTCCCTCTTTCAATCCCTGTTATTGGGGGATAATAAAAAAAAAGGGGAGATAAAAAATAATAATATAGCAAGGTATAGAGAAATATGAATCTATAAGAGGTTTTAAGTCGCTGATTGGTGGAGGGATCGTTGTTACCTCGCTCGTTTTCGTCTCCGTTCGCTGCACTTTGGAAGGTAACAACTCCTCTTCTCTCATTTCATTTTTATTTCAGTTAATTTGTTCTCTGTTTGGTGAAGTAGTTACTTGCATATCTATATTTGTTTCTTTCCGGTTGAACTCCCTTAGTGCTATAATGCATGAATTAGGATGATGTAGTAGCTAGTTTTATGGTGCAATGTCCTCATTTCTCACTGTCTGTTGTTGCTTTGGTTTGAGAATGAGAAAACAGTGGAAACTTCATGTATTTTGCTTCACACCCTTACCCCTCAACTGAAGAAAAGTGTTCTTGTGTGTTTATTTTGAGTAGTATTTTAGCTAGATTAACTAATTTCTTGAAATCGTGATTGTTTCTTTTGTTACAATTTCCCTTAGAATTATATCTAAGTGTTAAGGTATGTCTTTTCTTTTTTTTTAGAATGTGAAATTATTGTTTAAAATAGTAATATGGGTTTGTGTATAATGAGACAGCCTTAACCTCTATGTTTTAATTTGTTACTATCGAAATGTCCTGAAAGCTCTCATTTAAATTCATTGTTCGAAAATCTGGTGCTATTTTGAGGATTATGCCATCAGTGATCTAGTTAATCCAAGCATGGCTTTAGGTTCTTATTTTAATATCTTATCCAATTAGGCATATTTGTGAGTGTTGAGTAGACTTAAAAAATTATGGCCTTGATGTTTCTGACTGTGAAGGTTCCTTGTTAATACTAGTTTGAATTCGCGTAGTGGATATATCTATCCTCTGTTTTCAATCAACTTGAGTGGTATATATCTCTTTGGATTTAAACTCATGACGGGATGCTTGTAACTCTACCATTTTAATGTGACGATTTAACTAAGATTACTCTTATTTTTCCAAAAAAAATAGCCCTCCCCATCTTTGTCCAAAGTCTAAAAATATCCTTCTGATTTTTTAACTTGTTGTGTAACTTAGTTATTCACTTGAACGTTAATATTCAACAGTGATATGAACATTGTTTTGTATTATGCCATTGTTTAACATATTTGCTTATGTTGCCTAGTTTAGTTATTTAAATATGGCTATTTTCTTCCTTTGCCTATAATGAGTTAATTGTCTATTGTCTTCAATTTTGATCATTTGATATGACAAACCGGCAACCTTTAAGTCTCCATAGATAAAGCTAGTTTCGTATTGTATGAGGTGATGTTAACTCTTTAATGTATCTTTGGATTGCATCAATTATTGCTTATAAATTTAGTCATATATACATATATGTGGGCATGTGCTTTGGAAGTTCCATGTGGCTTGATTTTCATTACCTTAGTATAAATTTTATTACCTCCTATTTTGTGTTGAATTTAGTGACCTTTTGGTCTTAATTTGGTCTAACAGTGACTTTAGTAATATTTGCATCTCAAAAAATATTTAAGCCACTTTCATCTTAATTTTAAGCTACGTCTTAATTGTTCCCTTAATTCGTACACTAATTTTTATACTCGCTTTTCGTTGCATATGAAATTCCATTCGAGTTCACTTTGGACTCCACTCTTGCATATCCTTGAGTCATTTCGAGTTATCCTCATATATTCGGTGAAAAAGAAGCTGGAACAGGCCCCGGAAGTCCAAAAAGCAGGCTGTATACACGTTATACACATTCAATATACACTATATGCAGCTGTATACACTTATATACAGGTCAAAAACGCGAAAATACAAGGCTAAGGTGAAATATAGGTGTTCGGAAGCAAGAGATACATGAAAAGAGCCTATGCATACGCTGATATACACTGATATACACCAGCTGTATACAAAAACGGGATTGGTTTGAAGGCAAAAATTTCAGCGAAATTGGCCCAAAAGGAGGCCCAAATTCAATTTCTCCCTTACTCTTTAATTATTTAATCGTGATTATTTATTATTTGTTGTTTAACTCTAACTTTATAATTTTTAAAATAATTTAATTAGATTCTCCGAAAGATGAGTTATTTTTGTTATGTTGGCTTACCTTTAATACTTTTTTTTTTTGTGTGTTCATTTATTTTACTAATAAAGATCTTATATCATTAATTGAATTAAAACTCTTCGTTATTAAAAAGAACATTATTTAATGTTTTTTTTTGTAACACACTTTTATTTCGTTTAAAATTGTTTCAAGTTAAGGTCTCTCCCAAATAAACTTTTAAAACACATTTTCAATTAATTAAAATAAAATACTTACTTAGTTATATTTCTCAAAAGGTTAGTCAATTAATTCAAAAAATGATTTTTTATACTTTAATTTATTAAATTGGTTTAATTTATTTTAAAATGAACTAAATAAATTCTAATTAGTCTAGTTTTATTAATTTTCTAATCACTTGCATCTTAATTCAAATATTTTCATTTTAGGTCTCTTCCTCTAAAAAGATAGAATAAAATGGTTCATTCCTTAGTTATTTTTCAAACTTAATCGAATTGTGTAAGTTATTATATATTTTTATGTTATTTTTTCAAAAAAAAAAAAGTCAAATACATTTTAGTCAAGTCACAGGTCAACCGCATGTTAGCGGACAATTTGAATGCTTAAACCCTTCTCGAAGTGTAAATTGAACCCCGAACCCTCTTTTGGTATTTTCAAATGATTTTTTCTGTTTAAATCTTTGGAAATTATAAGTTTTCTTAATTTCTTTAAAAAATTAAGTGGCGACTCTTTCTAAGTATTTCTCAAATTGTTTTATACTTAGAACATTTCAAAAAGTGATTTTTCTAGAGATAGTTAAATTACAGCACAACAATAACAAGAGTAAAATAGACATAAAAGGTAAATTATCTTTTGATGTTCTAAACTGGACAAATATTGTCGAACAACTATTTTTAATATAGTGGACAACTATTGTTGGACGGAGTAATTTAAATTTACTTCAGCTTTGTTTTTCCTATTTACATTTGATTCAATGCAACTAATTACTACTCCTATTAAGATCGAGAAGAAGTAAAAATAGTACTAAGATCGAGAAATTTTTTAGAATATAAACACTTTAATTCAATTAGCAGTTTTTTGTTCAGTTAACGTAAACAGAAGCGTGATTTTTCTTTTCACTCTCTATGCTTCAGTATTAAGTACCCAATTAACTCCAAATACTTAATCAAGAACCAGCTCTAAACTAATAATTAACTGAATTCTGATTTATAGTTTGGTATGTATTCTTTCCCTATTTTGGTATTTTTTATTCTAGATATTTAAATTAATCTCGTGATCTGATTTCCAAAGAATCGGTAAAATTGACCTGATGAGCTATAAAGTTGTTAGACGAAAAAAATTACATAGAACCAAACAATAGTAATATTATTAGAGTGAAACAAAAATAAAGAGAGCTGTGACAATGCAACCTATACACAGCTTCTTCTTTAATTCAGAAACAAGAAAATTCTCAACAATACTCAATACTAAGCAACATAAGCTGCTTCCCTAATTTGAGAAAAAGAAACTTCATACTTTTGAAAGGGGGAAAAACAACCCATTTAGTTGAAAATAGGAGTTTATTTGTTTAAGCCAGTGGCATTTTTAACTGCATTAGTCGCTTCTTGTGCCTTGGCCTGCATCTGCTGCCCCGCCTATAAACCAAATAAAACACATTATTTTTTTGTCTAATGAATCAGCTAAAAGTGTGTGTGTATATCAACGACCAAATTACCTCCTGGATTGTTTCCCTGGCAGATTGTGCAGCATTGGCGGCCCTGTCCATCATCTGGTTACCTTTTTCCTGATGAAAATATAACAACATATATCACACGTTATCAAGGGGAGAGCTACATAATAATCTGAATAGAATAGATTCTATTTGTTTTAAAATCATATGTTGATAAGTGAAAAATAGTTTTGTTTATATATACATAATAAATTGTTGCATTCCCTCGATTTGTTATTCTTGCATTTTTTTTCCAAATCCATTTATTAGAATTTCTGGTTCCATCAATGATCTTCGAGCATGTTATATAAAGGAAAATTGAATGTGCAAGTAAATTACCTGAGCTTGGCCCTTGGCTTGGCCAGCTTGGTAGCTCAAGTTCTGGGAGTTATCCATGATTTTGGAATAGAAATTGAGAAAGTAGTGTTACAGACTGAGAAATCAAACTAATTGTTGAAGAAATTATGAATTGCTTGTTGATGTTTTGTTTTAGGAAAACTTTGGTATTTATAGATCTTGAAATACATTCAGTGCTCGACATTTGTTAATCTTGGTTGAAGGGTAAGACACATTTCTAGGCCTCAATATTGGGAAGCAGTTAAGAAAAATTAGCCTTGTAGTAAGGAAAAAACAATAATTTTGCAAGAATTGGTCTCATTATCATTTGGCTCGTCATATAGTAAATATTAATCGAATGCAAAATAAACAAACTAGTAAAGAGGAATGATTGAACTTTGGTTTCCAAATATTACAAAAATTGGTGTTCAAGAATAGGCATATGCTTATCAAAATGTATGCCTTGAATATTATACTAATGTACAATATCTTCTAATGAGTAAGGATGTTAAGAAGGCAAACTCTGTTTCTGATTAATAGCCTTGATAAGCATTCTGTGCCAGCCTCAATAGCTTGAAGGCCAGTATTTAGTATCTGCAATTTTCTCTGAATCATCGATACATCAACGTTGAAATTACTGCTGTGAAGGTAAGAACAAAGAGCAAAATCTACGCATTCAACCTCATTGATAGTCTTTTCCTCTCCCTTATAAGTCATTGATTTTGTAACAAGCATTTTTAAATCAATGACCACCCGTTTTTCCTTGCCTTTGAAGCTGGCGAAGACAAGAAATAAAGTTGGGAACATTGGACTGAGATGGTCAAGATTGATACTTGTCTTAGTACTGCAAATAGCTTAGATAAAGATTGATCTAAATCAACTTGAGTAAATGATTCTATCTTGTTTTAGTACTTTGAGTCTCTTGGCTATATCCTTTTTCACTTTTTTTTCTTAAACTTATATAGGCATTGAAGCAACTCTGTATGCTTGAATCTCCTACTTTTCTCCTCAATGCTGATTGAAGATCTTGCACTTGTTCTTTCATCATCAAGACTAGTTCCCTCGTCGTACTACACGAGTCAATTAATCCAACAGAGGCCTCAAGGGCTTCCTCTGCTAACCGTCCCATTTGATGTTTGAGGAGAGCTTGTTGAATCATTGGGGACTCTAGAAGGTCTTGAACACAATTATACAACTCTGCTAGCCCTACAAGGCCTTGTTGAATAGTGGTTAAACTAAAAGGGGTTGTTGTTGAAGAAATTGATGTTGATTCCCATGTTTTGAGCCTGTTTAGCTCAATCTCAACTCTGAGATACTCTGGCTGTGAACGAGATGGAAAGCTAATCGACCTAACATGACTTGAATTAGCCATCTCTATGTCTTACTATTAGCTGATATTGTTGGAAGAAACTTAGTTATCAAGTGAATGCTAGAGAATGATCATTCTTGCCTTTACTTATAACTTAGTGGAATTGTGTATGTTTTTAATTTTTTTCAATTATTGTAGGTGATGTTTATTGGTGTAGTAGCCAACAGCCGGCAGTGTAGAATTGTTTTTTTTTGTTTGCTCTAAAATAGGTTACATTAGGCTCTAGTCCCTTTCTCCTAATAGTTATATTGTTGCCACCCCAAGCTACCAGCCTCATTGCCTAAGAGTTGAAATTAGTAAAATGGCATCTTTTAGTAGTTATTCCTACTACAATTCTACAAGTTTCAACATCACTAGCTGGCTTATCATTCTTGCTGGATACACAAAAAAAAAAAAAAAGCAAACCTAAACATATCCCAATTAGTAAACTCTTAATTTCACCCAGAAAAATACAAAACTCTTTATTTCACCCAGAAAAATACAACTCTTAATTTCACCAAGAAAAATACAAAAAATGAATTACTGGATTTTGTGTTCTTTGAATACCATCTTTCAAAATCATTGTAGTCTCTAGAGGTTTTTTTTTTTTTTTTTATGACAAGGAAAACTGCAACCGCTACTCTTTGGGTGCAGAGTAAAACCCTCACTCCAATGCAATAACTCATCACACAAGAGAGGTAACCCGCACTAGGTAAGCACGGTGGAACGAGCTCGACCCTGAAAGCAAACCTCTTGTTTTCGCCTCCAACATGAAAGTCCCAAGCCCAAACAACTAGCCCACTTCGAAGGGTTCCACTGGCCACCTCGAAGGGTTAGTCTCTAGAGTTGTAGGATAATATGGAACTCCTTGTGTTATATTTGATCGTCAAGAACGCTAGACAATACTTACTTTGTGTTATATCAGAAGGAATGCTCATAAGTCATAACCTTTCATTTTGGTTTTAAAAGTTGTGTATATTATCTTACTATTCATGCATTGAATACTTTATTAATTCCTTGGTTAATTAAGACCTAATCTGATTCTGATTATTAGCTAGAGCTAGATGATTATTGTAAAACTACACTCTTAATAATTCAACTACGATCCTGAAGCCATTGATCAATAGATCAGTAAATAAAATCAATGTTAGTCTAAACCCACTACAAAAAAAAAAGCTAATTTTGCGGAGGTTAAATTACGGGGTTACAATAACCTCCGCAAAAATATATTAATTGTGGGGGTTATCTCAGCCCCTCTAATTTCTTCACTAGATTGCGAGGGTCATAACCCCATCTATTCCTTAAAAAAATTAGATTACTTTTATTTCCTTTTTATGTTTGGACATAATGAACCATAAAAATCTTTAGCTTTAATTAATTTTTTTCCCCAAAAAATCGGAGAACCATTTTAGACTTTGGAGAAAAACTGAGTCTCTTCTCATTCTCTCACAGCTCTCTTGCTCCCAAATTTCTTCAACATGTATTAGTTCTTATCAGAAAATCGTTGGTTGATTGCTGAGTTTTTGAACTCTGGTTTAGTAGATAAGAATAATCAATGGTTGAAGAAGCTGATTTTTGTTCAAGTTTGGTTCTAAGCGGAAATTGCTGATTTCGATTTTTGCTGGTGCTGCGAATAGCTGAATCTGTGGTATTTTTCGTCCTCATTGTTTGATTTTGCTTTTCAAATCGTCCAAATTTTGTTGTTCGATGTTTAGAATTCATGAAAGTTTAATTTTGTCATAAAGGTACCTTTAAACTGCTAATTAAACATCATTAGACAGGAATCGAAAACCAATTAGGTGATGTTTAATCAACCGTAAACATTCTTTGTCTTGATGTCTGTCATTATCATGTGATTTTTATAATTTAATCATGCTATTTTATTTTTTTGGCAGAAAGGTCGGAAAGCACGTTAATAAAATAGAACATAACATAATAAAGAAGACATTTTTAATTTAATTCTGTTGACTTTCCAGTGTCAGATGATGGTCGTACATGGCATAATTCTTTTGTACAAAGAATTAATTAAGAACGGCTTTACACCTAAAGAGTTGTATGTTGATTAAGTGTTAATTATTCATAATACTTCTTAATGGCATAAAACAAATTAGTCAGCGGAAAATGAAAGTCTACAGTAGTTGGAATCAAAATTCAAGACTTTTTGATAATTTGTCTTTGTTCAAAAATTTCATCATATATGTGGAATAACTTTATGTCACGAAGTAAAATTGAAGTTACTATTGCCAAGCCGTTAGTTACCTGGCTTAATTGAAACGAAGTGTTTACCTATCGAGCTTACATGCAAACAAATTTTACTAATTATAATTATGTTAGGAAAATTGTTGAATTAGTTTCAACTGAAGTTTGTAATTCCAAATAAGTCAAACTAGTTGCGAAGGAAGAACATGGATGGTAGTGTCAAGTAACAATATAATCTGAAAATATGGGATTTTTTATGATCATGAAAAATAGTTGCTAGATTATTCAGGTAAGATGAAACCTACCCCAAAACCCTCTCACAGCAGAATTATGGATCATAAAAAATGGGCTCAAACAAATGGGATACCAAGACGTAGAAGTGAAAATTTACATTACTTATAATTGTCAAGTTGATTAAAGAGAGGACGACATACATACAACACCATTCTCTTGGAACTATTGAAGACCGTCGATTTTATTAGATACATCTGGAGGAACCAATGTGCCAACTCTGACAAACAACAAGTATGATGAAAAACGATGACCATATCCGCTATGCATTACATTTGTAACCATGCATATCTTTATTAGGTTAATTACATGATGCAAGGCAACGTCATTCAACTCATGGTATATACGTACAATTGCAGGAAAAAATATCTCACTAATTTTTCATTTTGGTTTCCCACCCGGAATCCGAAGCTCATATTGGAGCCCCGACTAAATTCAGATCGCGCACTGCATGACCCATTCGGAGATGGCGCTCCCATGCTATAGCTGACCACAACTTTCAATAAATAATAATATTCTCAAATAACATTAAAGCCTTTTTTGCTGCCTAATCATCAATGACCAAATTTCCTATTCTTAAAGTCCAAGAGAGACATATTCTAGTAAGTAGTTAAGTTTTTTTTTTTTGTGAAGTGAAGTTTCAAAATCTATAGCTGGCTAATCATTTTTGCTATAGTACGTAGCAAGAATATACTGAGAACAAATTCAAAGAATTGAATGATTTTAATTAGCATGGTAAGAATTTCAATGGGGGCAGGTTTTAAACAGTGCTAGATTTTGAATAGGCAACATCAAACAAAGGCCAATAATTTTTATTAGGCCCATTTTCTGCAGAAAGATACACTTATGACAAATCCACTGCCACTCATAATATTTTAGCATGTGATGACAGAAAGGTGTAGCTGCTTCAGGTGACACACTACATTAATTTAAATTCCTATTTCATGATCGGCCTAATTTATTTCAGAAAGATCAGATCCATCACTGAAAAATTCTGCTTATTCTCATTACTGTACTAAGGGATGGAGATATACTCCATTTTCTCTTTTTATATTTTATACTACTACTTTTTTTTTATGTGTCTATAAAGTGAATGAATTTATTTTTGACAAAGCCATAAGGTGCCTCCGACCCTCCATTAATTGTCATTATAAAATATAAGAAATGAATCTTTCAGTCTAACTTAACTCAAAAGCTAACTCATAGGATGATCATAGTCCATATAAGGAAACAAAAAATCTCTCATCCCTAGCGGATGAAGGATACTCAACATGAGCACCATATTACAACCGTTTAGATCTATTTCAGTTGTCAATGAAATGAAATACATATGTTTTTATCTAACAACCCGCCTGGCTGATGGAAGTGGATTTACAAAGATACGATTTTGTGCATATGATCAGGTTCAATGTTAGGATTGATCACACTAAATTGTGTAGTCATTTTCTTGTCCCTCCAATCAATTATTCCTCCTAGATAAATTCATATAATTAAGACTAATGATGCAGCATTCATCGTAAATCCATGAACCTTAATTTGGACAAGAAAAGCTGAAATAATTGAACATGTTTTATCAACAATGATCATCTTGTTCCCATGTGATCGTCATTATCATATGTTTTTTCATAAATTAGTCTTGTACTAATTAAGTACATTGCTAATTGTATTCTCCACAAGACTAGAAAATAATTAAACAAAAAAGATCTTGTCTTCTACAGTTTTGTCTATGGCAATTCAATCTCACATAATCGTACAAGACATTGTCCTTTAGCAGGTCAAAATAATAATTAAGGATTCTACTCAAATGATTACAAATTATTAAAACAACCAACGCAATTCATGCATGTGGTTTAATTTATTGATAATTATTTGAGCTTAATTCATTGTATTTTGATTATACATTAACCAAATCTGAAGCACTGCTGGCTAAATATCTATCTAATTATTCCAATTATCAGTACACAATTTATTTGCTTTACAGCAGGGATCGATGACAATTATTATTAGTACTTTCAAATTCATGGATCCTGGAACATCATATAAACTATAGATTATAGAATATACTACTAGTTTAAGATATATAAAACCTAAACCCCTTTTTCAGATCAACTTTCTAATTATTGGATTATGATATAACTTAGATATATTGTTATTAATCAAGTGTTTTAAAAGGTGGAGGCATAGCCACATAGAAACTTAGCCTCATATAGTTTTATTTTTCAGATTTTTAAAAATAAATAGAATTAAAAAGAATTTTTAAAATGAAATAAAAACGGAGTTAGAAATGTATAATCACTATATAATTTGTGTTATAGATTGGGTATGCATCTGAGATGACTACAAATTATTACTAGCCCGTGACCAATTCAAGCTTGCATAGTCCCAAACTTCAATTGAGAATCGCCATACAATTAGGCATGTAAAAGAGAATCACGACATATAATTTAAGACAGAAGGAGTAGTAAACTAATTAGCTTAAACTTTTTATTGTAAAAAGATAAAACACAAAACAAGAAGATGTATCTCAAAGTTAA